AAGAATTTGGAAGGACTGACTCCAATTTTGAAAGAAGTTCCACTGTGAGTAAAATGTTATCAAACAGCACCTCATACTACAGAGAAATTGTTTGTGAATCAATGTGGCAAACTTCACTGTTGTCTCATTTTAAGAAATTGCCACAGCTACCCCAGTCTTCATCGACCAATATCCTCATCAGTCAGCAGCCATCAACACTGAAGCACCCAGCTAAGAGAGTATGACTTGCTGAAAGCTCAGGTAATGGTTAGCATTTTTTAGCAATAAAGTATTTTAAAATTAAGGTATGTACATTTTTTAGATATAATGCTACTGCATATTTAATAAGACGACAGCGTAGTGTAAATGTAACTTTCATGTGGGAAACCAAAAAGTTCATTTGACTCACTTTATTGTGATATTCACTTTACTGTGGTAGTCTGGGACCAGACCCACAACGTCTCTGAGGTATGTCTGCACTAAAAACCATTCAACTGTACACTTTAAATGAGTGAATTGTATGGTACATCAATAAAGCTGTTGAAAGAGTGATCTTGGAGTGCTGTAATGGTGTTGTGAATGGGCAGAAATATGGGCAATTTTTACTTCTACTTTTCTGCATTGTCCAGATTCATTCTTTTCAGCAAGTATGTATTTTTTCATAACTAGAACAAAGCTTTTCCTATCTTGAAAAAAAAATAAACACTACTATTAAAATATACAAACCATGGCTTGACATTTTTAATTCCTTCAAACAAATATTTTAACACGTTGGGCATCTACTATATGCCAGGCACTGTTCTAAGTACTTGGGATGTATCAACAAGCAAAACAGACAAAAACCCTAGCATTTTCACAGAACTTTCACTGGGTAAATTTAATGGAGAAACAATAATTAATCAACAAACTATACAGTATGTTAAAATGTAAAACACATTACAGAGAAAAACAAAAGCAGCAGGATGGAGAACATGAAGAGGGGTTTGCAATTTTATACTGATAAAATGACACCCGAGATTTTTTTTTTTTTTTAAAGTAGGTTCCCTGCCGAGCATGGAGACCAACGTGGGGCTTGAACTCACAACCGCAAGATCAAGACCTGAGCTGAGATCAAGAGTTGGATGCTTAACCAACTGAGCCACCCCGGCACCCCAACATCTGAGAAGATTTAAAGGAGACAAGACAGTTACCCTTGTAAATACATGGGGGAAAGGTGTCCGAGGCAGAGGAATCAATTAGGGCAAAGGTCCTAATGTAGGACCTTTTCTTTCATGATGCTGCTATAGTTTAATAAAAGTATTCCAATATTACACATTTAGATCACAGCATTTTTTTTTTTAAAGATTTTATCTGACAGCGAGCAAGCGTGCATGCACACAAACAGGGGGGAGGAGCAGAGGGAGTGGGAGAAGCAGATGAGCAGGGAGCCTGACATGGGGCTGGATCCCAGGATCCTGAGATCATGACCTGAGCCAAAGGCAGACACTTAACTGACTGAGCCACCCAGGCACCCCACATTATTTGTTTTTATACTGAAATTTAAAAATTGAAACATAAAGGAATTGCTCCTTGTTTTGAATTATTATCTTCTTTTTTTTTTTAAATAGGCTCCATGCCCTGCATGGAGACCATGGCGGAGCTTGAACTCATGACCCTGAGAATCAAGATCTGAGCTAAAATCAAGAGTCAGACGCTTAACTGAGCCACCCAGGTGTCCCTTGAATTATTATTTTTTTATTTTTTTTATTTTTTATTTTTTATTTTTTTATAAAGATTTTATTTATTTATTTGAGAGGGAGAGAATGAGAGATAGAGAGCACAAGAGGGAAGAGGGTCAGAGGGAGAAGCAGACTCCCTGCTGAGCAGGGAGCCCGATGCGGGACTCGATTCCGGGACTCCAGGACATGACCTGAGCCGAAGGCAGTCGCTTAACCAACTGAGCCACCCAGGCGCCTGAATTATTATTTTTTTAAATATTTATTTAAGTAATCTCTACACCTAACATGGGCCTTGAATTCATGACCCCAAGATCAAGAGTGGCATACTCTTCGAATGAGCCAGCCAGGCACCTCTGTTTTGAATTATTTTAATATAAGTTGTTAGGATGAAATTTATCTTTATGGCTGTAAAGTTTCCTGTTTATATCAATGTTTACTGTTACACAAAAAATGTTGAGGTTCAATGTTTTCTATTTGGCAGGTAAGTTGGGCCTTTGTTTGAGGTACAACTGGCATAAGTTGTTTTTTTTATGTTTTATAGAGGTAAAATTGGCATAACATTAGTTCGAGGTGTACAATGTAATGATTTAGTATTTGTACATATTGCAAAATGATCACCACAATAAGTCCAGTCAACATCCATCACCATACATAGTTACATAATATTTTTTTCTTGTGATGAGAACTTTCAAGATGAGTTGGTTCTTAAAAACAAGCAAGAGAGTACCACTAATGCTACTGCTTCTGCTATTACTACTATTACCAACTGCTAATATTTGAGTTCTCACTTTGTGCCAGGCACCGCTCTCTTTGTTACATAAAACACTGATCCTCTCAACACTATATGGGGTAAATACTACTACTGACACAATTTAAGAGAACTGAAGCACAGAGAGATTAAATATCTTGCCCAATGTCATAGTATATAGTGATAAAGCCATATTTCAAACTCAAGCAGTCTGCCTCCACAGTGTATGTTCTTAACTACTACCTATGGCTGAAAACAATCCTGCCCATTTTTTGAACATCTGACATTTATTTATACCTTTTTTAACTCTGTCCTTGAGTATAAGGAGTTCCACGAATCATCAAACTATGTCATGAACAAAATCTTAACCACTGGTCCATGTACTGCCCTCCTATACCACAAATTTTCTTTAATAACATTATGAACAACCATGATATCACAGCCCAAGAACTAGAACATCACCACAAAAATCATATTAGCACTTCTCCCTATCCTAACCCTCCTTCAGCTTTTAAAAATTAACCACTATCCTGAATTTTATGTGCATCTAAAAAATATTTAGTTTTGCTCATTTTAAAACTTTACAAAAAGGTAACTTACCATATATAATCTTCTAGAACTTGTTCCCACTCTCCTTCCTCTCAATACTAAGATTCACCTGTTTGTTATATATAGTTTTATTCATGTTTAGAACTATGCAACATTCTATTTGTACTATCATAATCATTTATCCATTCTCCTGTCAATGGGCATTTAGGGTGTTTTTACTTCTTTCAACCCTGCATTATAGTTTTGGTTCTCTCAGTACTGCGTAAGCAATTTAAAAATAGGTTATCTTCCTATCTCCTAGAAGACGAAGCACATTGTTTTGCCTATGTGTCAAAAAAAATAACTGAATTAGTGAATGACATATGGACCAACTAAAAGTTATTATATGGCATATATCACCTTAAAAAAGATCCTTACCCAAAACCACACTTTGAAGGAGGCTAATTTTCTATATAATAACCACGTTAGAAAAGTTAGTGGTATATTGAGGCAACTTTTAAAAAGTGTTAGGTTGGTTGTGCCTGAAAGAAAATATCTAATCATTTTAATAATAATGGCAGCTTATATTATTAGTTCAGTATTATGTTACAAGCACCATGCTAAGCACTTAATATGGATTAACATATTAGATCTTCAGAACAAAGTATATGACATTGTATCTAACATTATTTGACATTGATGACCATTCTCTCCTTCAAACACTTCCTATACTTGGCTTCCAGGACACCATACTCTCTTGGTTTTCCTCCCACTTCCTTGTTTTCTTATCCTGGATCCTCCCTTTCTTCTCCACCTCTAATCGTCAGTTCCATCCTTGGACTTCTCTCTAGTCACTCTCAAGGTTGTTTGATCCAGCTCCATAGATTTTAATACTGATAATTTACACAAGAAAATTTTAATCTACAACCCTAACCACTCCTCTGAATTTAAAACTATCTCCAAATGTATACTTGAGCTCCTCCCCCAACGTTTCCCTCCTCTATAATTAGAATGATCACTTCATCCTGTTGCTCAAGCTATTCTTGATGCCTCATCTTTTCTTATGTATCAGCAAATCCTGTAGGTTCTATTTCCCAAAAATACCTAGAACCCACTACTCCTATCTCCACTGCTTCCAATCTTGTCTAAATTACCATCATCTTTCACCTGGACTACTGTAATTGCCTCCTAACTACTCTATTTCTACTCTTACCTTTACCATCCACAACACAATAGCCATGAAGGTCTTACATGGTCCATAAGACCCCTCCAGGATTTTGGTGTTTGGCCAGTTCTTAGATTTCATGTCTGACCAATCTCCCATCACCCAATTCATTCCAGCAACAATGTTTCTTTACTGTTCCTCAAACACATTAACCTCAGGGTCTTTGCACTGTCTGAAACATTCTTCCCTTGGTTAGCCACATAGCTCCATTCTCCCAGTTTATGCAGTTTTTTACTCAAATGCCTCAGTAATATCTTCTCTAACCATACATCTAAAATAGTACACTCCTGTGTTTTTCCACTTTCACCTTTCTTTTTCTTCAAAGCAATTGTCACTAATATTATATAATTACTTACTTTTTTTATTTATGTCTTCTCTACTAAATTACAGGCTCAAAAAGGGCAAGAAGTATGTTTGCTTCATTTAATGCTGTACTTTCTAAAGGAACAGTCTGTGGCACATATCAGGTGTTCAGTAAATATTTAATGAGTGAAAGAATGTTGAATAAAGCAGACAACCAGCAATTTTCTGCTAATTAACATCTGCAAAGTGCCTTTTATACTCCTACGTAAGTACATAATTACAGACTTACAATAACCATACTTTTATTGGTGAAATTAAACTAAACTGCTAGGAAATTCTCCCTTTAAAAATGTCATTCTTAGAGGAGTTTTAAGTCCCAAATTTCAATGTCTCTATTAGCTACATGGAAAATTGCCTTTAATACTTTTTCCTAAGAAAGAAAAGCAGTCCTACAACTAAAGGAAAATAAACAGAAAAATTATTCCATTAGGATGCTTACCATTTCTTTTGGACCAGGGGTGTAAGCATGAACTTTTCACAAGTGCTTCATCAACTTTTCCTCCTGACATGTTATCCATGAATTGACGCCCATGTTCTAATGCAAGGTAGCAGTCACTGCAACAGTCCCGCTCTTCAACACGTACCCAATTACTAATTACACCAATCCTGGGAAAAGGGTCTTGGTCTGCTGCTCCAAAAGGTGAAAATAAATTAGTGCACTGATCTTGTAGCAATAATATCAACTCATCAGGGAATTTCTCAGATTCCTTTAGTCCTCCATTAACATGTTCAGCAGAAGTAGCCCTGAGAGCTTCAAAACGTTTCTCTGCTTCTTTGCCACATTCTGTGTTGCGTCCTATGATATCTAGTTCATCTTCAAGAAATAATCCTGAATTGTTTCCAAATTTTCTGTTCATGACAGCACTGAAGCCGCAGGTACACCTATACTGTGCTTCCTGCACTGGATCTGGAATGTAAACTCCAACATCTGCACCCTTGATATTCATGTTGCAGACACAGATACAGCAACTATCAAAGTTACAGTCTTTAAACAAATTCATAACTGATTCTGAAAGAATGAGGTTTACATAAAGACTGTGTGCTTCAGGGATGGAGGGAACAGTTGCAGGTTCAACAGAATTAAGGGGTCTGCATGTGGATGGGGTGGAAGCTGGTGAATACAAGTCTGAGTTTTCATATTTGACTGAACCTTGAGCACTAGCAGGTCCACCAGCTCGAGGAGTCCTTGGAGTCCTTGGAGTCCTTGGAGTCGGAAACCTAGGTGTAGATGGAGAAGGAAGAATTCCTGCTCCACTGTTACTAGGAGGTGCGCTGCTAGGAGGCATCCCAAAAGAAGTATGAGTTTGAGGTGTATAAGCAGGACCATATTCTTGATCAATAGTACTTCCATCACTGGTGTCACCAGGGTAAAAAATTAAACACATACATAAAGGAACATATTAATAATATGAAACAGAACTAAAAATGTCCCAGTATTTTTCAGTAACACTGAAAAGGAAAGCACAATTAGTGCAAAAATTACAAGTATAATCAAAATATGTATCTGATTATTATAACCACTCTAGGTGACTATTGTAGACTGTGGACCAACCGACTAGTTCCAAAATTGTAAATAAAATCTGTTTACACTTATCCCCACCTAGACATCCACATTTACTATCCATATTTCTTGTACTACAAATAACCATATTTCATTGATCCTAAGATGTCACTGTTAAAAAAAAAAATCCTGATTTTAGAGATGTTTACGTGCAATAAGCGACAATGACAATTTTAAGATCCTACCAATTATAAGACATCCCAATTTCAGAGATATTAAAATATGAGAAGTATGTGATACGGCAAATACACAAATGGGATTTAGAATATCAGAGCAAAACAAAAGGTGCTTCTGAAGAAAAGCTCCACCCACAAATGAAGACAAATAACCAAAGCATAATGGTCTTAAGTTTTCCAACAGTTTATCTACATGCAACTAATACCATTATAATTTATTGATCAAAAAACAATTTTTAGAATTAAAAAAAACAGTATCTTTTTTCTAAGTACTAGCAAAACAGGTACTTCTATGAAAAAAATTAAAGCTATGTAAGCACACCTACACTATACCAATAACATAAATCTAAATCATACCCCTCTTTGATGAATGGCACTGCAGGCCCTGAAGGAAGCAATTCCAATTTTCCAACAGTCCAACTCTGACGGTAAATACACTCTTCTGGCAATTTGATAGGAGGCAGACATTGGCTTGGTAGACTTTTTAGAGGTGCAAACATGGAACATCCCACCAGAACTTGACAATTTTCAGGCTTATAGACATAAGAAAAATCCTATAATACAAAGACCATGACTTTCAGCATCTTATCTTCCAGGGGAAAAAAGCCAAACTCACTCTAGCCTTTTCCCCCCCTCTTTAAACAAAATAATAAAATGTAAATATTCTTCTTTTTCTTTTTTAAAGTAGGCTCCATGCCAAAAGTAGGGCTTCAACTCATGACCCTGAGACCAAGAGTCACAATCTCTACTGACTAAGCCAGCCAGGTACCCAATATAATTTTATTCTTAAATGAATTCACTCTATTTTAATTCCAATTAATTAACATACAGTGCTATATTAGTTTCAGATGTATACTACAGTGATTCAACAATTCCGTACATCACCCAGTGCTCATCACAAGTGCACTTCTTAATCCACATCACCTATTTCATCCATCCCCCTACCAACTTCCCCTCTGGCAACCATCAGTTTATTCTTTATAGTCAAAAGTGATTCTTGGTTTGTCTTTTTTTTTCCTTTGCTCATTTCCCCGCTTTGTTTCTTAAATTCAACATATATGTGAAAGCATATGGTATTTGTCTTTTTCTGTCTGACTTATTTTGCTTAGCATTACACTCTCTAGCTCCATCCAAGTCACTGAAAATGACAAGATTTCTTTCTTTTTTATGGCTGAATAATATTCCTATGTGGGTGTGGATGTGTGTGTGTGCATGTGCATACGCATCTTTATCATCTGCTCAACATCACTCATCATCAGGGTAATGCAAATCAAAACTACAATGAGAGGGGCTCCTGCCTGGCTCAGTTGGTAGAGCATGCAACTCTTGATCTCAGGATGGTGAGTTTGAGCCCCATGTATGGCATGGAGTTTACTTAAAGTAAAAAAAAAAAAAACTAAACAAATAAAACAAACTACAATATCATCTCACACTTGTAAGAATGGTTAAAATCAAAAACACAAGAGGGGCGCCTGGGTGGCTCAGTGGGTTAATCAGCTGCCTTTGGCTCAGGTCATGATCCCAGGATCCTGGGATCTAGCCCCATGTTGGGCTCCCTGCTCAGTGGGGAGCCTGCTTTTCCCTCTCCCTCTGCCTGCTGCTCCCCCTCCTTGTGCTCTCTGTCAAATAAATAAATAAAATGTTAAAACACACACACACACACACGAAACAACTGGTGTTGGATAAAAAGGAACCCTCTTGCACCCCTGGTAGGAATGCAAGCTGGTGCAGTCACTGTGGAAAACAGTGAAGGTTACTAAAAAAGTTTAAAACAGAACTACCCTACAGTCCAATAATCACACTGCTGGGTATTTACTCAAAAGTTACATGGGGCGCCTGAGTGGCTCAGTCTGTTAAGTGGCTGCCTTCAGCTCAGGTCATGATCCAGGGTCCTGGGATCGAGCCCCGAGTCCGGCTCCCTGCTCAGCGGGGAGGGTCTGCTTCTCCATCTCCCTGCCGCTCCCCCTGCTTATGCTGTCACATAATTAAATAAAATCTTTTTTTAAAAAATTATAAAAACAGGGGCGCCTGGGCGGCTCAGTTGGTTAGGCGACTGCCTTCGGCTCAGGTCATGATCCCACGGTCCTGGGATCGAGCCCCGCATCGGGCTCCCTGCTCGGCGGGAAGCCTGCTTCTCCCTCTCCCACTCCCCCCGCTTGTGTTCCCTCTCTCGCTGTCTCTCTCTCTCTCTCTCTGTCAATTAAATAAATAAAATCTTTAAAACAAAAAATAAAAAATAAAAAATTACAAAAACAAAAAAAATTAAAAATTACAAAAACACTAATTCAAAGGGATTTGTGCAACCTTATGTTTATAGCAGCATTATTTACAATAGCCAAATTATGGAAGCAGCCCAAGTGTTCTTAAATGCATTCTTAATAGTGTCACCACTCTTTAGTCTTCAAATCTGTTAACTACAAAATAAGAATCACCATGAGTAGATTTTTTTAATACAGCAACAAACTGGGGGTGTCTGGGTGGCTCAGTTAAGCGGCTGCCTTCGGCTCAGGTCATGATCCCAGGGTCCTGGAATCAAGCCCCCCATCGGGCTCCCTGCTCAGCAGGAAGCCTGCTTCTGCTCTCCCACTCCCCCTGCTTGTGTTCCTTCTCTCGCTGTCTCTCTCTCTCTGTCAAATAAATAAATAAAATCTTTAAAAAAATACAGCAACAAACTGAATCTGTAAGAAAATATTGGAGGGGTGCCTGGGTGGCTCGGTTGGTTGGGTGTCTGACTCTTGATTTTGGCTCAAGTCACGATCTCAGGGTTGTGAGACAGAGCCCCACAGCAGGCTCCACGCTGGGGGTGGAGCCTACTTACAAGTCTCTCTCCCTCTGCCCCTCCCCAGCCTCACCCCTCTTAAATTATTAAAAAAAAATATATATATATATATAAAAGTATATATAAAAGTGTATATATATATATATATATATATAAGGAATTATTTTTCTAGAAAAATAAAATACTTACTTTAATTTCGGAAGGTTTTGGGCTACAGAATCCTTCATCAACCTCAATTTTGAACTGTGTTCCTATACTAGAACTATTTCCTTCTAGAACAGTTCCTCCAGGTGTTATATCCATACTACCATATTCTTTATTGCTCATATTCATTGGGGAAAATCCCATAATATGTTGTTCCAATGATGGTGGTGTAGGATACATTTTATGAAGATCTGCAGTGCCTATATTTAATAAAACACACATTTTAACATAAGACTAAAAAGAAGTTAATCTGTGTTTAAAAGAAAGGAGTGGAGAATTTTATTCAGATTAAAAATTTGCAGATTTATCTGGAGATTTTGGAAGCTTACTTATGCAAGATAGTGGGTCCAGATTTCCTGTCTTTGATTCCTTACTGCTGGATTTATCGTCTGTTCCATTTGCAGACTTTTTAGATCCAGGCTATTAACAAAAACAGAAACACATTATTTATCTGAAATTTTAAGTCCAATGTGATCCAAGATGGTAATTATTAAGCTATAACTTGAAGGTCACACCCATTCATCAAATATATTATTCTGGTTGTGCCAGAGATAAATACTGGTTATTAGAAAAATTTATAAAGATGTAAAACACTTTTTAGGCAATCAATGAACCCAGATTAATTTCTCTGTTTATTTGACAATCCTGCAAATTAACAGAGGGAAAAGTTCCTCCAAACCACAGGACCAATACTTTCAGAACACACAGAAGCAAAAATAACCTACCACTTAAAGCCTATTAAAATTTAAAAAAAAAGAAAAAAGAAAAAAGGAAACCTGCAATAAGAAGGATTTGTAATATCAAAACTGCTTCTTAGTAAAAGATACTCATAAAGCATTTGTCCCCTTAAATTTCCTATATATTCAATCACCACTCTGAAACCTAATTTATACTTTTACCTTAATAATCTCCTTACCCTTACAAAAATGCTACAACATGTAAAACAAAGCACAAACTTCAGAAAGATCTCATTTGATAACAGGATACCTAACTAAAAATTAGTTTTAATACACTGAACAAATCGTTTTACCATCTCCAATCTGTCACCAATGTTTTTAGACCTGACAACTTGGTTCCAAGCCTCCTGTTAGCCACTTTGTCATAAATATGTAGACTGAGTTCTAATTACAACCTTTTTAACTCACAAGAGCCACAGCTGATACATGAATGGTAACGGAAAGCATAAAAGTACCAAAGTATTCAGGGATATAGAATGTAAGTTTATGTATAGTTATATCTGCCTTATTTCACTTAAATGAAGACACCAAATGTGCATATATGTGTATATACATATGTACACAAATATATATATGCAGTGTGTATGTGTGTATCATATACAACAGAGAGGACTAAAATTGTAATATAGAACAAGAATGACCAAATGTACTAAAGAAGTTTCCAAGCTACCTTTATGCAGATGAAAATGGAATTCCCTTTTATGATAATACAGCACTCAGTTCATTTTGCTAGAGACTTGACATTCTAGCAAATCTCATTTTAAATTTTCTTTTATAATCACCTTTCTCTGCAAATGGATGTTCAAAGTTAAATATTTCTCTTTCTGCATCTTCCATTATTATAGTATATAGTTGTTTTTACAATAATGGCTAGAACGCCAAACATATTCAAAAGAAGTAGTATTCCTTAATAAACTGACAAGGCATACAATTTTAATGTTAATTATTTATTATTTTATGTATGTGAGTCAATTCCAGGGTCATTTCTCAAATGAGAGATCAAAGAACAGGAAAATAATTCTGCTTCCTAAAGACTGCAGAAAAAGACCATATGGTAGAAATTAAGCTTAATCACACATGTCCTTCAAATATAAAAAAATAAAGAAAAAAACCCCCACAGCTTATAGGTGACACTATGCCAAGACTGCTCAAATATAAGTTTTAAAAAAAGAAACCAATTAATAAAATTTTATTCCAAAATATTTCCTATTTTTCAGGGCTCAAACGTACTATTCAAGTCACATATCACTTCTGAAAAGTAAGTCTACATAAAACCAAGGAAAAGAAATTATAACTTTAACCATTAATAAAATACTCACTGTTAGTTCATCTTCATCAGAATTGAAGAGATTATCAAGGTCAGTATAAGAGACAGCCAGGTCTGAGTCATAAATCAAACTGGTTGATGGAGGACGGGCATGACTAGTAGGGCGTGGAGCATCTATATATGTCAATCAGAGTCAATCAGAAAAACAAAATAAAAGATTCTACTACTGACCAAGTATTATTCTAGTTATTTAAACTAGATATCTAACTTTAAACTTATGAGTATTTTGCAATAAGAAACTGTGATTTGCTTAAAATCTAAAAATTTTTTTCATAGAAATAAAGCTGCAAATAAATAGTAGTAATTTCTCCAGGAAGCTCACCAAAGGCTATGTAATCCATAACATGGTTAAGTACTCCAATTTTATATATCAAATAAAAAGACATACATTCTTAGGACAATAGTACGGTACACACACACACACACACACACTTTTATTTTTCTGTCTTCCTGAAATGTAAAACAAGCATCGTATGATGACTAGGTGCTCTGGCTCTTGAGTCAGATGGACTATTAGTAATTTGAATTCCCAACTCTAACACTAATAGAACGACCCTGAGCAAGTTACTTAACCTCTCTGTACCTTAGTAATGGCAAGAATTAAACATGAAAGGATGTAGCTAAAGCACTTTGTCCAGTGCTAGGCACTTAAGTACTCAATAAATATTACCTTTTGGTTAAGATTCATTTTAGTTCTAGAATTTTACTTTCCTTTTTCTTCCCCCCCCCCACCAATTATAGTGGAAAAAATACACAATTACTTAAGAAAAAAATAAAAACACCAATGGAAGTTAAACTCTTCTTACATTCCCACACAAAAAAAACTAATTTGCAGTTTGGTATATAACCTTCTAAAGCATCCTTGGAATATCAAATGACTTGAAATAGTCCTCATTTTCAGAAAGATAAAAGCCACTTTCCAAGTGCCTCTGCATGTCCGTTCTAAAAATTCACTGGAGCATTAATTCTGAAATTTGGTGTAAAAAAAATCATCTAGGGTACTTATTAAAAACCAAGATCTCCAAGCTCCACCTCAAAAGATGCTCCAGAATGTGGTACGTGGTCCGTATTTTGAGAAAGCACAAAATAGCGATTATACATTCTCTACATCCTAGGGTAGGTAAACAGCCCAAAGAACCCAAACTGTTAACTTACCAAGCTACTCAGAATTATCAACTGATTTTGCTTCATTAAAGACCATTTCTTCCTTATTCTTGTTTTTGGTTGCACAGAGCCTGAACCTCTCTATCCCAAATACTAAAACAAAACTTTGTCCCTAAAAAAACACCTACAGAAGGACTTCCTTTGCCTTCATCAAAAGTTAAACAGATTTTTTTAAAGAAATAACGTGTTGTGTCTGTCTATTCCATGCACAACAAGCACTAGTCAGATACTTTACTTTCAAAGTGGAGCCTTGGCCTCAGTGGCAAGAACTGTGCCTATATATAATACTTACTTGACAAATATTTGTTAAATTAATAATTTCAGCAACCGTTCTTCTAATTTGAGTGAGAGAGAAAAGGACAACAAAATTATAGTCAAGCCTAATTTATAAGTTTTCAGATCTGAGAGGGACCTTAAGTGATGATCTTTTTAAATCTCATTTTACAGATGAGAACTATTTTTATTTGTGAGAAAGTAAAGTTCCAACAGTTGAAAAGAGAATTTCTATCACCTCAACTGCTTCTCCCAGTGCAAAATAAACAATAAATCTATCATTTTAAGATAGGTACCTCTCTATGAAACATATGAATTATGCAAAAAAGGAACACCTTTAAGTCCAGTAGTATCAAATTAGCTTATAGTAATAATCCTTCGATGCAATATTTTTATTAGGAAATAGAAGTTTTACCTTGCTTGATAGAGGGACTAAATAATGACATAGCATCTTCCTCATGTGATAACACTGTTACACTAGATGGCCCATCTTCTACCTGCAAACAGTATTACATATTAGAATGAAATATATAATTTAAAATAACAAAATCTTCCAACTATTGAGTTAAATACGTATCAAGCATCTTGCCAGGTGTTCTACAGACATACTAATTCCCACAACTAACCTATATAATAAGTAAGTACTATGTTCAACTTACAGACAAAAAATAGTGTTAAAGATAACCCAGAAAATATATCTGATAAATAAATAGTGGAGGTGGGATTCCAACATAAATCTGTCATTTCCAAAGTCCATGTTCTTTCTACAGTACCTATAGCCTTCCCAGCTACTACTGTTTTCATATTTACAAAAGGACAAAATTTCAAGTACCAGGCACGTAGTAAGGCTAAAAATTTTGTGAAATGAATTCTCTACATTAAACTTATTATTGGGTTCTTTTCACAATTTTATAGGTTTTAATTTCCATATATTGTATTTAACGCAAAATTCTTATCTAACAGAGTTATCTTGTGCTTAATAGATCCTCTAATTGATTTTTAAAATTTTAATAAATACTTCTATATCCTACGCTAAATATATTACTTCAAGGGGCACTATAAGTTCTTAACTCACATTTAAAAATATCATATATTTTGTAAACTAAGCATTGTGTATTTTATTGTATTTTTGAAAACTGGCAATTCACCTATAACATATTTTAACTCAGTATCAAAATAGTTTATCTAACTAAATGTAAAAAGTAAAAAATAAAAAATCTTTTCATTACAAGAGACCAGCTATAAAGTCCACACAGCTCTTAAATTTTGTATAATGTGCCTGATTCACCTATAAAAAAAAAAATGTTTTCCTGGGGCACGTGGGTGGCTCAGTCAGTTAAGTGTCCCAACTCTTGATTTTGACTCAGGTCATGGTATCAGGGTCATGAGCTTGAGCCCCATGTTGGGCTCTGTGCTGGGCGTGGGGCCTGCTTAAGATTCTCTTATATACTGCGTGGCTCAGTTGGTTAAGCGTCTGCCTTCAGCTCAGGTCATTATGTCAGGGTCCTGGGATCGAGACCCCCATCAGGTTTCCCTGCTCAGCAGGGAGTCTGCTTCTTCCTCTCCCTCTGCCCCTCCCTCCCTGCTCCTGCTCTGATAAATAAATAAAATCTTAAAAAAAAAAAAAAAGATTCTCCCTCTCCCTCTGCCCTCCCCCCACCCTGGTCCTTCTTGCTCTATCTCTTCCAAAAAAAAAAAAAAGTTTTCCTAAGTTACAATGATAAATCTGTTCTATTTTTTTTTTTTAATCTGTTCTATTTTAAAAGAAAACAATGAGAAGTATGGTACCTATATGCAGTGTTACAAATCATCAGTCACCCTTTGGTGTACTTTGATTTCTTTTACTCACCTTATGTTTTTTTACAGCTTCTCTCTCACTATTTTGTCTCTCTTTCTTATCAGGAAAAAGGAATTCCTCATCTCCTTCAACAAATGCATATGGATCGATTTTAGATTCTTGCTCTGCATCAGATGCTATTGCTGAAAGATACTGATTTTTAATTTGATATTGCTGTACTAATTCGTCAGAAACTTTTAAAGGTTTCTTACATTGCACCATTAACCTGCATAAAAAAACAAAATTAGAAAATTAATTATATTTATTTTCCATAAAAGCAGAAAAAAATTCCAGTATGACTTAAGAAACAAAGTTTTCAGGATTATTTAGAGATGATCTAACCTGTAATCCTTCATTTTATAAATGAAGAAACCTAAGCATAGAAAGATTATATGATTAAACCTTCAAATTTAGCAATAGAGAAATGAAGCTAAAATCTAAGCCTCCTCTTTATATGTTCTTTCCACTAAAATACACTGTCTTTTGGTAATCCACTCTGTTCCCAAATCCTCAAATGCATTAACTTGTCCAAATCCATTCACTGAAAGGGACTGGACTGCTCCAGGACAGGAACTCTCAGAATGTGGACTAACTACATGGTGAGACAAGACAAGTTTCATACAATTTATACATTTATACAATGAAAGTGATTATCCTTTACCTACTGCGTTAGTGGATAAAGTTATAAAATTTTAAAGACCTCATCTGTGTTTCACAAAAATAACATTATAACTATTATTAATTCTGACAAGAGGTTTTATAATGGCAAGTTTCAGTGCAAGTACCTTAGAGGCTTTTTTTGATCACTTTGGAAAAATCTATTTTTATATTATCAGCCTAATGGTTTCACATGGTGACTAATAAACATACTTTTGTATTCTCCTAAAACAACCAATAAAATGACAAAGGACAACAGAATAACAACAGTGAAGTTGGAAAGACAAACTAGTAGAAACTGACAGACCAGAGAAAGCTGAAATCTAAGGTTAAGAGAAAGAAGACACAACAAGCTGATCTGCACCACCAGAATCCTGGAAAGCATCAGGACTTTTCTATCTCTGAAGACCAGGTTGCTTGGTGAGTGGGAATACTGAATGATTTGATTTTGGTTTGTATAATATAGACACTTTTTGACTCTCAAATTCATGTTCTCTGTGGTTTGTAAAGCTGAGTTTCCCATGCTGTCAGAAAGCAGCAGCTAGGCTTCTAGTCAGACCATGATCAAAATCCTGCAAGGACTATGTACTTCTGAATAAAAACTAAAGTCCTTGTAATATCCTACCAAAGCTTTCCATATCTTTCTTCTCTTTTCCTCTCCAACTTCATCTTCTGTTATTCTACTCCTTCCTCTCTCACTCTGCTTCCAAGAACTTTCTTGATGTTCCTCAAATAGGCCAGATATACCGCTGGCTGTTCCCTTTGTTTGGAGCATTCTTTCTTGAAATAGCATGGCCATCTCCCTCACTTGTATAAGGTTTTGTTTAAATGTCACCTTATGTATGAGTCCTTATTTAAAATTGCAAAATGCCCAACTGCCTCAACACTGAACCCCCTTGTCCCACTCTATTTTTCCATTCACAGCACTTATCTTTAAATATTCTTATATAACTTGCTTATGTTCATTGTTGACTGTCACTCTCATAGAATGTAAGCCCCTAAATGGTGGGGATCTTGTCTTTGTTCACTGAATTATCCCAAATGCCTAGAACAGCACCTGGCACGTAAAAGTTACTATAAATATTTCCTAAATGAATATGTCAAATCTAAAAGTCACATAGGATAGAGATGTTGTGGTTGCACTAATAATCCTAAAATACAGTATCTTGTACTTTGGAAAATAAGCCATCTTTATTCATCAGAAAGTGATACTGCTACCACTTATCTGTCCTACAATTTAGGACAAAAAATCCTAAGAGACGTTAAGATTTGGGAATGATGAAGGCATTTGCTAGCTCATAAAATCTTTGAATGAGAGGGATAGATCTTTAAATCTATTCACCAATGCCCAGCACTAGAAGCACTCTATACTCTATAAACTAAGGTTGAAACAGAGGCCATCAAAAGGATAACTGGTATTTTCTAAATCTGCTATCAAATATCATAAATGCCATTTTTATTTCCAATATGCCCTAGATTTATCCCCAAAACTAAAATCCGAAGTCTATAAAAACTTTCTTACATGAGAACATGGTGCTATCTAGTCAACAGGGATATGTTTTAAAATTGTTAAAATAGGGCGCCTGGGTGGCTCAGTCAGTTAAGTCTGCCTTCAGCTCAGGCCATGATCCTGCGTCGGTCTCCCTGTTCAGTGGGGAGCCTGCTTCTCCCTCTCCCTCTGCCCACACCCCTGCTCATGCTGTCTCTAAAAAACCCCACAATTGTTAGAATAGTTCTGTTCTATAAATGAACATTTATTTCTTAAAAGTAGCTTTATACCTTACCATGTTAGACCCTAAATAACTGTTTTTTTGATTATTAGATTCTAACATAAATACTTTGAAAACAGTTTTTCCATCTACTTCGACACAGATTTTATTTAATACTTAAAAATTAACCTTACAAGATAAGAAATGAAGGGTATCTTCTCTTTGATGTGCAAATTATGCAGAAAAAAATGGTTTGCTAAGGTAATAGATAGCAAAGTTAGGGCTAGACAGATTTTAAGTACGTGTATTCAAATAACTATTCATAGGAGAAAAGTGTAAGATCCCACTACCCCTCCCCACCACCAACCTGAAAGACACTACTACTCTGTGAAGGGCTAAATAAAACAACTCTGTTTTTCACATTAAGTTGTCCTCTGGCAGAAGCAGGAAAACTGCCACACTGTTACATAGGTAGTTAAATTAGTGTGCAGTAACATTAAAAGGACCAATGCTACTGCATAGGGCTCTATGAAGAATAAAAATGAGTAAACCAAATACAGTGCCTAAAGACAACTTGTTATTTTATTGAATGGTTCTCACAAACATTGGGATATGCAAAGAATTTAAATGTAGTTAATAATATCAAGAGTATCAAGTCACAACAAATTTTAAAATATAATTTACATTACACATCCTTCTATATTTAAAAATGGTAGAATAGAGAAAATGGCAATTTTTAAAAGATGCCAGATTAAAAACTCAGTTATTTCATCACTATCCAATTATATAGTATACACATACTTTTGTGAAACAGGAATAACACTTCTCCTTTTCTAAAAGAAACTCTCACGTATGACCAAATGGTTAACTACAGAGATAGTTTCAATGAGATATAAAGCTAAATATACAGACCAGCTGGAAGAGGATTAAGTACAGCCATGAACAGGAAGCTTTGCAAAGCCCAAAGCAAACTGAAATTACTTTCATATTATTCATTAATGGTACCTTTCCTTTTACTATGACCACAGTAACATTCTATCCTAAAAATAATTATATATATATATATTTTTTTTTTTAAAGATTTATTTGAGAGAGAGAGAACGCCTGTGCACGTGAGCAGGGGGAGGGGCAGAGGGAGATGAAGAGAATCTCAAGCAGACTCCCCACTGAGCATGGAGCCTGACGAGGGGTTTGATCTCACCACCCGAGAGATCATGACCTGAGCCAAAATCAAGAGTCGGGACACTTAACTGACTGAGCCACCCAGATGCCCCTCCTGAAATATAGTTGTAGAGAATTTAACATAGCTTAGTAGCACATGCTTTGAGGCCTTTATTCAATAAAAATTTTTCCAGACAAGATATGAAAATATTTTAGGATTGACAATTATAAAAGGAGATAAGACATTTTAAGGAATAAATGAATTCAATAAATATAAAAAATCCTCTATTTTCTTTAATGGTACCTTGTCTAATATCAGCTCCAATCTTCAGAATCAATCCTTAAATTGAGTCAAGCTTGCTGTCGAAAGTACAGCTTTATTGTAGTAAGATACCAAATAAGATTTACTTAAAAAGATTTAGAATACAGTAAATCAAAGGTTTATTTCATCATAGACTTCTATGAAACAAAATAACTAGAAACTAACTTTTAGAGGGCAAATAACACATTCTATAAACCATTTAACATATACAATAAAAATTGGGTATATCACTAATACAACATAGGAGCTAGTTCTATTGATGAATGGTATGGTTAAAATATCCTGATGTATGTAGCCTTACTACCAAACAAGACATGATACAAATATGCTCAAGTATAGTTCTTCCTTTCTCAGGGTTTAGAAATGTTTCCCTCTGAATCAGAATAGAAGACTATTTTAAGCAATCACAAATACTACTATAACTAAGTGCTAAACCCTTGAAAAATGATATTAAAAACTGTAATGTTTCTTTGTAGAAACTTTGCTATCTTTAAAACTTAGAAGGTCTTAAAAGCCACTATTCTAAAATAGATGCTATCATTAACTAATAGAGAAACTAAAAATAACTAGAAGCAAAAAGAGAATAGCCACAGATGTGTATATCCTGTGTGTAGGCTATGCTATGTGCCACCCCAACCTCTCTCTCTCTCCTTGAACAAATTCTAAGAAATTAAAAAAGGAATTTTGCCTTAAAGTAGTTGCTAAAAAATCTGGCATCAACTGCTGCACACTGATAGAGTCTAAGAATAGGGAAGGTGCTAGAAATGATGAATCCTATTACTCTGTACTAGTTAGGCAGCCAACACCACCTAAAATTAATTAGAAAAACCAAGAGTATTGCTTTCTTTTGTTTATCCACCTTTTATGGAAGCACACTGCCACCCTTTAACAGCAATCAATGGAAAACTTAATTTATACAAAAGGGAAACTGAGTTTTCACGTAACATAAATAAAACAAACCTCCAAATTTCTCCTTCATCACTTTCTAAAAAGACACACACCTGTAAAAGTCAATTTTTATTTAAAAAATTGTTTCTTTTTAAATTTCTACTGATACATTCTTGCCTCTCTTTGCCTCTGTATTACTCCAACTGGGTTAATATAACTTTTCTCCTAAGCTTCAGACATTTGACAACTGCCTGATTGCATCTTTAAGCAGGCTCCTAAAATGAAGTCACAAATTTACAACGTATATGTATTACAAGCACATAGTTAAAAGTCATATTGTACACTAAGGCAATGACTGAGCATTATAAATTTCTCAATCCCCCTCCTTCAAGATAACAAGGGATTAAGTTTCTCTCACTTTAAAAAAAAATTATAAAATTAAGCTTAAGATCTAAAGTAAGTAAAAAAGTAGAAAAGAAGCATTCAAAT